AAAGAGCATATGCAACAGAACCGAAAATTCAAAAATGTTTAACTGAAAATGGTTTATTAAACCTTAACACATATGGTATTTGGACATTAATTGAACTGGAACAGCATCTGCTTCTTATATAATTAGCAATGTTTATTGCTTCTGCCCATAAACTTTGAGGTACACAAAGGTAGGTATTGTGTAAACAATAGGTAGGTTATGTGATGGCAACAAATTTTGCATATCGATTTTTCGGTGGGAACGTACTTCTCCATAGTAGGGAAGTGTAAATAAACTATTTTTAGCAACCTGTCGGTCTGTGTGTGCACGCGTGTATCTCAAGTTCGGCTGAACCGATTTTGATGAAATTTTATATGTAAGTTTATTTCCACCATGGCACGGATTGATCAACTTTTGGTATATATCAGGTCTCGGAAACTGCACTTTTTAGCGGGCCTGTTTTACATTTTTCACCATTTTGAAGTAAATATTCAACCGATTTACTTGAAATTTTATATATAAGCTCAGCTCGACCGTCCGCGAAAATTCCTATGTTTTGGAAAAAATCAGGCATCGGCAACTAGACGTTTACTACGGGCCAAATATATATTTTTGTGTATATGAAGAGAAATAATCAACCGATTTCATTGAAATTTAATATTTGAATTCCTCGTATTAAAACAATGAACATATACATTTTTTGGAAAGATCGGGACTCGAAAACTGATCTGCGGCCCGATTTTACATTTTTCACCATATCTACAGAACGAATTGATGGAACTTGTTGAAATTTGATATTTGAGTTCTGGTTGTTACCGAAACTAACTGGCGAGCATTTCAGGGAATTCGGATAGCACAAAGCGAAACTCTACTCAGAGCCAAATTTACATTTTTCTAGGTATGTTAACTATAAGCTTACTAATGTCCTAAAAATTGGAAAGAAGTATTTAACAGACATTTTTATAATATTCTGTAACACTTTCATTTAACTAGACAATACACAAAGCGGTCGGTTATGTGCTGACCACATCAGATTTTTTATTTTTATTATGCTGAGTTTGCGCGGCGCTCATTTGTACACATTATATTTAAATTGTTGTACGTATGCAAATTTTTATTTTTGCTGAGTTTTCGTCCCCTTATCAAACAAACAAGCACGTTATTATGATGTATTACTTTTTCTGTATAATATTGCATTAGTGAAAAACAAGAACAAAAAAAACAGTAATGTAGAATGAGAATAGAAAGAAAATAGCAAAAAAGAATGAGAACAATATTCTTAAATAATGGAATGATATAGTTTTAATCAAAGTAAATCTACTAATAAGTAGCAAAGTATATCTACTAATAAGTAATTCGACTTGTTCCATTCCGTCAGTCTTCATTTGCATCTTGCTTCCAAATTCTTAAAATATTCCATTTTTTTTAGAAATAGATGATAATAAGAGTTGTGTAGGCAAGAAAGAAACAAAATATTGTAAACAAACGAGTGTATCAAAAACATTGAACTAAAATAAAATTAAATTAAGTTAGGTGAAAATGTTGTTATTTTTATTTTGATAATATAAAAGGTATACTGCTTAACTCTTTTAACTAAGGGAATTTTTTGTATACAAATATTGGTGAGTGATTGCATTAGTGTGATGTAAACGGAGAGTCGAACTACTTGTTAGTAGATATACTTTGATAAGTAGTTCGACTCTCCGTTTACATCACACTAATGCAATCACTCACCAATATTTCTATACAAAAAATTCCTCTAGTTAAATGAATTAAGCAGTATAACTTCTTATTTTCATTTTAATACACATAAGAATTTTTGGGAGAGGGAAACAGTACGCAATAGATGTCTACCTGTTTTTTTATAATGTATTTTTAAAAGCGGGAGTTATTTATTTTTCCCTATATAATGTATAGGAAAAAATATTAAGAATTTTAAAGGCGGGAGTTTTATTTTTGTAACTTATTCCAGTACAAGGTGGCAAAAAAGATGTATTCATATTATAAAAGCGAAGCGGAAAAAAAGTGTTTAAAAAAAATTATTTAAATTTATATAATATAATTTTGAAAAATAATAAAAATAAATTTTAAAAAGACGTATAATATTAAAAAAAAATTTGAAATAGTTGCGAAAGAAATAGTTTTTTTTTATAATAATGCATACACCTTTTTTTCTTTATAAATTACTTTACTTCTATGTCACTACCTGATACTGTGTATCTACTGTACCAGGTACATGCAAGTGTACATTCATACATGAAATTTCAAATTCTTTTGCTTTCATGCATTCGAATTTTTTACCTAACTTTAATAAAATGAAAAATAAATTTTGTTATTATTGAAATAAAAATAACAAAATTTTTACCTAACTTAATCTAATTTTATATCAGTTCAATATTTTTGATACACTCGTTTGTTTACAATATTTTGTTTCCTTCTTGCCTACACAACTCTTCCATCTATTTCTAAATAAAAATGGAATATTTTAAAAGCTTTGGAAGTAAAATGCAAACGAAAACTAACGGAATGGAACAAGTCGAACTACTTATTAGTAGATATACTTTGGTTGTGATATTGAGATGTAGACCAATCAGTGTTCCCATTGTGACGCCTTTGTGCAAAAGATTGCACTTCTTAAGATTTTGTGCACCTTTTTTTTAAGCTTTGTTTTTTAAATTTTAAATTTTTTTTTTAATTTTACAAAAAAAAATTTATACTAATACATTTACTTAACAAATATCGCAAACTGATGTTTCAACACAAGCGACGCATTATATTTCGCATTAATACTGCATCATTTACAGGGCTTACATTGTGTTTATGATTTATGAGTTTTTAACAATTTTAATATCTTAATTAATTGTAATATTTTATAATCACTTTCTGTTAGACGTTTCAAAAGTTTTAAGTTTTCAAAGCAAAGTCAGATTTTTTAAATAAAGTAAATTTTCAAAAAAAAAATAAAGAAAATTTGACATTCTATACTGAAAACAAGAAAACCTGAAGAATATCCATCGTGTCTCGTCATACGTTTTACAGAAAGTGGGGAAAGTGGGAAAAGTTTTGTTGAAAATGATTGTATTATTTTTTTTGCAAACAACTCGGTTTAATTTCACAAAGAACACTTATACTAATAGTTTTTTTGTATAGAAAAATTTTGAATGAATTTCAAAATTACATAATTTTTATGAATTTGTACTACTATGTTTTGCTTTCATTTTTGTAAAAATGCTATGAATTACAGAATTAAATACAAATTGTTAATATCTACTATTTATATTGAATTGAAAAAATGTTGTTTAATAACCAAACTAATGTTAAGAATTTTATGTTGAATTTATGTGGTGTCCAAAAAATAAAAGTAAAATGAACTGGTGCATAATTTATTTCATTCTTTTATCCCCAATATTAAAACAGTCTGAGCGACTTTCCGAAATTTCAAAACCATAATTTATGGTTTATATATGCCCATGTAACGTTGACATGCAAGTCTATCAATGCATTTACTTTAATAAAATCTTAAAAAATATAATAAAAAATATAAAAGCTTATACACAAGAAGCTACAAATTTTAGACTGAAACTTTAATTTTTCGCAAATTTTTAAATACAAGTTTAAACTTTTTTATACACTGTTTCATTTTTCAGACGGTTTGTGAAATAAAATGCAATTCATTTGTAAATTTAAAATTACGAATAAAACTTTGCAATGATTGAATTTTTCACACCCGCGTGAACCTATCAAAATGTTGGGTTAGGGCGTCACGTGTAGAGTTAAGCCTTCTAGGTTTAGATTTCGCAGAGTTGGGGCATCTACAATTACAAGTTTACAATTATATGAACATGAAATCTGGTACCTTTTTGAAAAATTATATGCCATATATACCGTCTAGTCTTGACAACATTTTACATGATAAAGTTTTTGGTGAGATTTGATTTGAGATTTTATTTCAATTTAAGTTTTTTATAACAAAAGATATTAAAGTACATCCAAGTAAGAATTCCAAAATTTCAAATTTTCATAATCGACACGCTTGCTGTCAAATACATTGATCTTTAATCACTACGCGGTTGCAGGTAACAGACTCTTTATAAGTACAAACCAATGAAACTTATATATCATTACTAATTTATAACAAACCATCTAGCTTTGCTAATAAAATAGACATGTTTGAGGTATCTAGCAACAAAATTATTTAAGTTTCACTCAAATTTCTATCCCTAAATTTCTAAAGGTGTTCCGAGAGGGTTAAATTCCAAGTTTAAAAATATCTTTTGAAGTACTAGAAAATTTTAATGAACATCATATGAATTTTTGGACATCAATACTATTTAAAGCTTTGTATTTTTAAGGAGCCCAATTTTGAAATCAAATTATGAGCATTTTGCTAATTTTTCAAAGTTAAGTTCTGAGTACTCTTGAACTTTGCTGGGTCCTCTTGTAGATAGGGTCCTTACAAATCGCTTAGTTTTTCATGACGAACTCACTACTTTGCTGACAAAAACAGATTAAGGAAAAACTTTAGAAGTTTTTTTTCATCAAACTGTAAAACTAGATTAAAACATATATGTATATATAAAAGAATTGTTGATACGCACTGACACGGTAATGCATTTCATTATAAAATTACTATAATAATTATTTAGATTCGAGTGTCCTTCCTGATTTGAGGCAAAAAAATGATTGAATTATTTCAACGCTAGTTTTGATTGCTTAAAAAATTAGTTTATCGCAAATAAAAATATGTTATTATGAATATTACTTAAATATGAGAGGTAAATATATAGTATCCCTAGATTGACATTGGTATTGAAAACAATAATGAATATATGGGTTTCTCAAAATCATATAAAGTTTAGTTTTTGAAAATATTTTCAATACACATATGCTAGAATAAAATTTCTTGTATTCTCGTAAGCAATGTTGTTAAATAATTTGAATCGGTTTTCTACTATTTATCGTTTTTTTCTACATTCAGAAAAAAATATTCGAAAAAAAAATATATGTATATAAAAAATAACCTCTGTTCTTAAATGATCTTCAAAATCGTTATCTTCCAACGAGTTTGATATACCAAAATCATTTTCTATATCTTCATCCAAATCAAGTTTCATAACTGTAGTAGACGTGTGGCCTAAAAAATTGTAAGAAAATTATGCTAAAACTTAAAATTATACACAAGTTACCTGAAATATCACATTGTACATTTTGAGTTAATTCAGTATCGTCAAACTCTAATTTCGGCTCAAAATCATGCAAATCTGAAAGACTGGGGAGTTGTTCGTCCAAATTATCGACAGTTGAATTAGTAGCAGTACCTTTACATAGGTACATATCGGAATATAAAAAGAAAAAATTGTTTATGAAAATTATATTTTATTTTCTACAAGCAGTAGATATTTATTTTCTTTAGAATAAGAATATAAGGTCCTTTAAAAATGCCGCATATAGATGTTGTTTTAAAATAAAACATGAAAATAATTATATTTTTAATTTTTCATTATTTTTATTAATTTTCTTATTTTTATGTAATGAGCAAATAAAATTATATGTAAAAAAGTTACATCATTTGAAACACGAGCACGTCCAAAGGTTGTCATAGGCTTCGATTTTGATATATGTATGTATGTATTTTTTTTTTTTTTCCTTTGTTCACTCCTAGAAGGAGCATAGGGCTAGTGTATGATTTCTCATGCACTAGTTTCATAGTGTCATAGGGTTTTAACTAGGTAGGTGACTAGGCCTGCCGTAGTTTTTATTTATATTAATTATTTGAGGTTATTAAATATTTACTGTTTATTTTTCTTAGTCTTTTTAGTATCACATATTATGAATATTTGAAAATTACTTGTATAATATTTATTAATATTGCATATTAAGTTATATAATATTGAATATAATTTTTATAGTGACTTGACCGGGGTTTGAACCCGAGACCCTTCGGTTAAAGGACCGGTGCCATAACCACTGCACCAATGGTCAGATATATATGTATGTATACAGCGTGATATTCAACACGTATATTGGACCTAAGGAAATACACATACACATATGTGTGTACTAATATATGGACCCAAAAAAACTCCCTAATTCAACTTATCATTAAAACTGAATTAGAGTTGCTTAATAGTTGGCTGCGAAAATTTAAAATCCTCTGTACAAAATAAATTAGTATTATATAATATATGACTGTCCTTTAAAATATTTCTGATAGAAATAGAAAAGCAATTACAGTTTAAAAATATTTGTTGTAATAATTTTCATCAATTTACATGTCTTTGTCAAATTCGTTCATTAATCTTATGAAGCGAAGCCGTTCTTGTACGCCTGTTTAACGCTGTTAATCTACTTGAAATGCACGATTTTTCGAAAATCGGGACATTAAATTTACAAAAATTAACCTTTTCAAAACCTGTGGCATAAAAACAAAATACTAACAAGCAGAAGTAATTATAAATTTCCATCTCAAAAACAAGAAATTCTCATAAACTCTTGCATTTATTAGAAATTAATGAATATTTTATAAGAAAATATACTTATGTACCTGGTTATAGCCAAAAACCAAAATAAAGTTACCAATGCCTGTCATTTTTACACATAATCTCTTTTACTTAATTTTTACTTTTTGGGAATATATATTATGTATATCTCAAAATAGTAATTAAACTAAAATAATTAGGCCTTAGCCAAAAATCTGAAGCATAGTTAACGGTTATTAAACTCACTAACAATCAATAAAAAAACTTAATTATAATAAAATGTACCTACGAAATAGATATAAAAAGTACCTTAATTTTTATTATCACTATTCTATTTAAAAATTTTTTATTAATGTAACAACCAACATATGTATTTATATAAATAAATCTATACATACATATATTATAACTAATACACCTCAGTCTTAAAATCGAGAAGTGATTTTGTGGCACAAAACATATACATATATTAAAATTTTGTTGAATGAATATTTAAAAAAAATATGTAGGTACCTAATATTCCTAGAACTTGTTGACTATTGGACCTCAAAGTATCCATTCTAGTATTGTTTTCACTCCAACAGAGTCAAGAATTGCAGTGTTCAAGCAAATATTTTGCTGACTCTAATCATAATACAATCTAAATTAAATAGTAATAAATAATTAGTTTTGATTTTTTTCTATTAGCAGAATTTTACAAAAATTTAGATATTTTAATGTTACTTTAAAAATTTTATATAACATGCACAAATACGGAAGTATACGTATATTTTAAATTAAAAAATTTTAAAACAAATTTACAGCAACTTTGTATATTTTTATAAAATTTATGTACGTGTATAAATATTTATATTAATTTTATTTTTAATTGAAATATCATCGAAACTAGAATTTTATAATGTTATTTTTATTTCTAAAAAGGTTTCTTTGCACGGAATTAAAGATTTTTATGCTAAACTGTCACCGAATTCATTTTAATATCTTAAATGACGTACCACTGACATGTCAAAACATTTTCCAGAGTCAATAGGGCTGGTAAGGCTAAACTGGCAATACAAAAAATATTTTTCGCCCAAAATTGGAAAATAGCAGAATTTCATTTTTAAATTTTCCTAGAGCGAAAAGAAATTTTTCTCACTAAAATATTTTGTATTTCAATCATTAAGAGTACATACTTTTATTTTTGGGATCAGTAAGGTTTTTTTTATTTTGTGAAAAAAAAATAGTACACTTAAGAAAAAATTTACACATAATTAAAATTAATGAACTAAAATAATTCAAAAGTAAACATTAAAAAAATGAAATATTTGGCATGCTGCGTTAAAACTGTAATTTATAAAAGAACTTTCTTTACATAGGTAAAGGTTATGCGCATTATTATGAATAATACGCGTGCCTGAAAAGATTTTTTTCTTTTTTGACGTTGAGTTCAAGTGACTCAGTGCTAATAAACGGAAAAAACCACCATTAACAAAAGTGTACCTTTTCTTCACCATCTGTCGTGGCGTGGAAAAAGAAATCCGAAAACTAAATAAACTAAAATATTTAATTCCAATACAAAATGTTCGTTCTATCAAAAAACGTTCAATCTATTTGTTAACACCAAAAACCAATAAATTTTTTTTGTTATCCAGTAAATTTTCATAATCAGCCAGAATTTGTTATCATGAATTTCCCTGGAGAATTCTACTAATTGCGAATTTAGCTACGACATAGACACTAAAATGATCACAAATTCCTTTCAGAGATTACAAATCAGCAGTAACAGCACAAAATCAGTATTTTATTTCAACCGTCAAATGTTTAGTTATGTTTTTTGTTACCATTTGAGTACAAAACTTTAAAAAAAAAAGAAGTTTTTTGAAACGGATTTTTGCGATTATTTTTCGTTTTTGAGTTCTTTTGAAAAGTGGATAAATTTTTTTTTAGCAAATATGAATTCATTTCGTGTTTGCATGGACAATACAATTCAAATAAAAAAATTGAAAACTTCAAAGTTTCTATCTTTTCAAGTTGCTTGTTACGTGTGAGTATCTCTTTCGTAGACTATTGAGTTATTTTTAATACGAACACAATTTATGATTACTCTATTACGAATTTTAGTAATTCGGAATTGAGAACATGAAATTCGTAATTTTCCGAATTTTATTGATCCACTTCACACTATTAAATTAAAGTTGAATCGCACACCTTAGTTTACTTTAGGTTTGTTTGAAGAGATTGACAGATCAGTCTAAACCGATTTAATCTACGATAAAATTTGATTTGCATTTACACATCAGAATCCATTAATACTTTTATGTCAAACCCTTGACTCCAAAGTTTTGACATTTGTAATCTATAAACTGGCAACAAAAATTGAAATGTAAATCTGCCCAGTCGCGGGTAAAATATTTTAAAAATTTATTGTGCGCCATGGTATTTCAAAAAATGTGAAAGTCTGATCTGCTAAAAAAACTACTTTTTTCATCAGATTTTATTTGATGTCAAACTTTGATTATAAGTCAGATTTTTATCAGAAGCAGATTTAATTATCGATTAATTCTGATGTATAAAAAGAAACAACTCCAACAAAGAGACTCCAAGAGAGAGTGACATGCCACAGCTGGTAAATTTACACATATTCTTATGCAAGCTATAGAGAGTTTTATAGCTGTAGAGCCGTTTTTAACATCATAAAACTCCCATAAGATCAATTTTTTTCAAACTTTTAATTAGAAAACATTAAGATTCAATCTTTTTTTACTTTACTTATGCTTACATTATTAAAGTTTTGGGCTTATAAAACATTAAAAAATTGATTTGAAAAAACCTCCCAGGCTCTGTTCATTTCACAAAAATTATATATGCAATTTTAGCAAATACATTCACAAAAAAAGCAGTATCCAGGCCTTGATTTTTTGTAATGTCAAGGTTTTTCATAATTTTCTCGCGTTTTGCTTTTAACTTAATTGTGTGTGAAAAGCCTCTTGCTGACATAAACCGTCCTGCGGTCGATTATAATTCCATGAAGTTTTACTTCTTATAAAAGCAAAGAGAATATCATGACTAATTTTTTGTCAACGTATAAATTTCCAAATATTCAACATACATACATTTTTTGTTTTAAAATTGTATGGAAAAAGCTATTAAAACACTTCTTTTCAAAATGAGATCAACAAATCCTAAATTTAATTGTTAAATATTTTCCTGTTGGCTTATTTAGGCTAATTCAAGAACTTTCTTATACCAGAAAAATTTTTTAAAAGCATTTAAAAACTTTATAAAGTTTTTGCATGAAAAGCATCTGAGATAATACTTTCTGAACAAAAATGAGATTCCCATTTTCTCAATGTCAAGTTTTTCCAAGTAAAATTTAGTGTTTTAAAAACTTTTAAAATCTTACGGCTGTCGAAACATACATATGTACATATGTTTTTCTTGGTTATGTCAGATGGTTTTATTTTAAAAAAAAAAATTTCCATCAATTACTTTTTTTTTCAAAACTTCAATAAAATATCCAAAATGGGTTTACAAATAGTTTTTCTTAGGTTTCACACTTTTATAATCCAAAATCAAAGTTTTTCCGTCTGGTTTACTTTTTTCTTAAATTAGAATATCTTTTTTTTTTTTTTCAAAATTTCGTCATTGCTTCATTTTTTAAGGTTTTTGCAAGTTTTATCTCAGACAGACCTAATATTTACCTGTATGATTCTTTTTAAACTGTACAGTTTATAGTGCTGCATTTACAACTTAATTTTTGTGTTATAAAAATTTCACTTTTTTAACATTTCCTTGTAAATTGTTTTGTCTTTTTAAGTTTTTTCTTATGTCAATTTTTATTTTCGCGAAATAAAATATTCATTTCAAAATTAA